CATTTCACATCCTTTTAGGGTGGATGAAAGAATGGGGGTGGGTACAGCAACCCACACATCTACTTTCTCTTGATACTAGGCTGTCTCTGGTAGAAGAGACACACACTTTCTTGGCCCCAACTCTGAAACAGCAGCAAGACTTTTTGCAAGGCCCCATGACGGGGCTCAGAGAGGAAACAGCTGACAAAAAGTCCTTTGGATTACATGCAGAAGTGCTGACATGCTTCCGAAGATGCTACACACATGAGGAATCTAGGCCGTTGATAACACCACCAATTAACAATTGGGTCTATATTCTGAATAATGACACAGGTCTCTTTCAGAGCTTTATTAAAACTTCCTTTCTAGGTAAAAAACTGTTTCTCCTGATCAAAGTTTCTGGAATATTAGCAGATGTGCAATGAAAGACATCGTTTACTTCCACTTGAACTGGAGCCATGGCATACTCCTACTAGGAAACTATCATCTTGTTGAGTGTGTACAAAACGGGCATGCTCTGTGCAAATTCTTTATTGAAACAATGATCAATTTACAAGCTGGATCACATTTCATTTTGCCACTTCAGCATGAACTGGTCTCTGTGGTTTACGGCCGTGAACTATAAAATCATAACAGTTATTTAAATCAAAATACAGTAACCGCTTCTCAAAAGAACACATTCATGTTTGTCTTACATTTGTAAAATCAAAAAGGATTTAATAATAAATGAAATATAACTTAAGATACTTTAGTGCAAGCATTTCCTTTGCATCTAAGAAGCTTTCAGTTGTCCTACTAAGTATGGCATACTTAGGAGGCCAACTCCTAAAATAGCATGCTGCCAAGATATTCCATGAGAACTTTTAAAATTCAACACTGTTAACACTTTCCAGAATTAGTTGGTCTGAACCAAACTGAACATCAGAAAGCCCTGGTTATATGTTACAGTACTTTTGTCAAAAGGTAACTGCAAATCAAGGAACTGAGATAGTATGTACATTAGAATAAAACAGGCACTGACTTAAAAAAAATCAACAGCTGCCCGTGTATACCATTCTGCAAGTCTTACAATTATACAGTAATTTTTAAGCACAGGAGCAAACTGCTATGCCTCACCTAACACCAATAAACCTGCATAAAAATGCTGATCTATGGGTTCTTTTAAATTTTTCAAATTATAATCTCAAAAAATGACTGAAGGGTAGGTTTCATCACAAGCACACTGAAATTAGAGAACAAAAAAGATCAACAGTAAACAAATGCTGCTCAAAAACAAAATGTTGAGTAAGTAGATAGTGAGTACTATACCACATTCAAGTGGTCTGATTAATATGGTCTTCAATCTAGTGCAAAAAGACTAGTAAGTGTAAAATTAAAATCCAGCACTGATTTCTTGTGCTGCAGAAATCTAGTCATGTTTCATGAAGTTTTGGCAAAACTATTGGAAAATAAGTAAATATATCCTGCAAACCTCTTTTCCTTTCTAAGCCTGGTTTGGTGTTCTTTATGCTTTTAGAATGCAAGTTCAGTTGGACTGGATTTTCCAGATTCTGAGTGTTTTAAGAACCATTAGTGTTTGGTGATATAATAAATAGAACAATGTAACAAAAGGTGTGCATAGTTCAATGATGGGAACAGACATTCTAATGCCCCTGAAGTGCTTAAGGTGCATGAAAGTACAAACAATGCACATGTTAATGTTTCTGTAGAGCCATCATTAATTTTATGTTTGTTGTGTTCTCACACCATAGAATAGCCATTTCCTAAGAAATACTGCAAGATGGACTTGTTTACTTCATAACAGCACAGCCAGAAAGTTTGGAACAAGAAAGATGGGTTTGGATCTTGCTTCCCATTTATCTCCCACAAACAAAGTGCCTGAAAGCATGTAAAAAGCTTTATGCTTACAGGTGTTATATAACGGATGCATAAAGATACTGAGCAGCAGACATGAAAATAGAAAAAAATACATAAACTAGAACCATTACAATCTGTATTTTCTTCAGAAACAGTGCTGTTCTGTTTTTATTCCGGTAATACTACAAAGCTAAATGTCCAAAGTCTTTATAGCAGACTGGCTGGGGCTACTTGTGAACATTCAGCTCCAAGTGGCTCATATGTAGCTTGCAATGTACGTTTGTGTGTACTTCAAATACATGCTCTTTGTGGGCAACCTCTAGAAAAAAACACAATCTGTATCTTCAAGGAAGTTTACACAGAGATACTGAAGAAACCATGAGGATCATTTGGTCTCAAGTGTTTCTCAATAAATAAATAATAATCAGGCTGGAGGACAGCCTGAGGGCAGCAGTCAGGATCAGAACTGGCCTGGGATCAATCACCATATGAATACATGAAGGGGTCTGGTCTCTACTGTAAAAAAAAATAATCAAGATGCCTCTTTTCAGGAGGTTAGGGTGAATTAAAAGAATTTAGTGCAACTTCCTGCTTTTGTTTCTGCCCTTGTCTTTTTTCCTACCAGAAGCAAATTAAGTGACTTGAAAAATTGATGTGAACACTAAACAGGAATGTGCTTTGGACTCAGACAAGAAGTTAACAGTTTGCATCAGTAGTATTTTCAATCATACTGGTCAGAAGTGAGGTTCTTTATGGTATTCTCTTAATCTACCCTGTGTTCTAGATTTATATTGCTTCACTGGAACTAAAATATTTCCAGCCACATTCCTAAAGGGACTTTGCCCTTGCATGGTTCCTTTTGGGCATGTGCAAATGCATTTCATATAGATGCCTGCCACTGTGGCAAGCACAAACAAACGTTAGGCAACTTAAATGCTGTCATTTTCACAAGCTGGCCACAAAATTTGAAGTCCATTATTAAAGATGTATTTTTTTTAATAACCATAGGAAGGTAAATAGGGAGCCTTCTCTGCATCACCTACGTAAGTCACGGGGTGTTCCTGTATTACACTGCTAGTGAAGCTCTGCACTTTAACATGAAGAAGTTAACATAAAACACCAATTCATTATCAAGGGTTTTTTTAGATAGCTGCAACATTGACTTTGTTTGGTCTCAATTACCTGTGCAGTTAATATACCTGATTGCCTCCACAGACACCTTATGTAGATGTGGCTACTTCGATAAAATGTCCAGTGCACCATCCATGCATCATCTCCCCATAGACCTAGGTGACTTTTTTCTACAATATACTTGGTTCCAGATTTATTCTGAGTATGTATACTTGCACTACAGTCCTTCTTAAAAACTGAAAGGTGATAGTTTGCTCATTAGTTCCAAATTAAATGTGTGCCAGGTAATTAAGTAATATGCTATTAATCCTACACAAATTGCTCCTTGTAAGTGCTTTCTTTCCAGGCTCACTCCAGAGAAGGTCCTTTTTATTGTTTGTCTGCAATAGAAATTATCACATCCCTTCCACTCCTAGCATTTCCTGGCATAAATGTTGATGTTTTTTAATGCCACAATCGCTGTGATCATTAAAGCTTTACTGGGGTAGAGTCACATGTACTCAAGCAGTGAACATCCTACATAGGTAGGAGGTTCCTCAGATACCAAAGCAATTGTAACACAGTAAACAGTTTGTGTAATTGTCATTGTAATTTCACAGGACACTTGATTATATATTTTCACACTACTCGATTATATTTTTTTTTATTTGGATAAAACACTCTTAAACTTAGGCTTATAGATGAATTTAGGCTTGATCTTCAGAATATGAATCTGCAAAAAATTGAGAATCCCAGTAAAAGGGTCTTCTGCCATTTCAGCCTTGTCATCAGCTAATTACTGGCATTTGCAGGACCAGTAAGGAAACTGCACATCTTCTGGTAAGGTAGTGCATACTTACTCCTACCAAATTACTGCAAAACAAGACATCTTGCATATTTGCAGCTGGTTTCCATAAAAACTTCTGGCAGAGTAAAAAATGGTCAAATATAAGCAGAAAATCCCTGCAGAGCTGTTGTGACTGCAACTTTCTGTAAGATGCCTATGGGCTTTCCCATCTGTAAGATACCCCTCAAAGCTGTTTCCCGATGTGAAAAAAACAATTGTTGGCATTTTCATTCCATGGAAAAGGGAAAACTTTTTCCCTTGTGCCTAAGCAGTGTGGTCTCAAATGAAATGGAAACATTTTAACTTTCTTTAATAGCCCTCTAAATCACCATGCAGCTGAGCAATCAGGCTTTGTAAATGGGATCTCTTAGGATTTTATTTGGCTACTGGAGTGCTGCCTCTTGGGCAATATTTCAAATTCACAAGATAATATTTGCAAAAATGCAATAGATAGAAATAAAGAGAGTGAAGGAGGAAAATGAAAACCAGTCTTATGTTTAGTAAGTTCAAGTGTCCTACATCAAAGACTACCAATGACTTCCAGGAGGCCACTACAGGTGACTCCAACCTAGAAAATGCTGAGGTAAACGTTTCTTAGAAATACTCCTAATCGAAAAGAGCAATTAATATTAATGTAATAGCAATTACTCTGCCATACATCATGGTAAACTAAAGTCAAACTGAGAAGAAAGTGCCAAATAATCCACATACATGCTTTTGCTATGATAGTCTCCAGGTAAGGCTTAGCGGCAAGTACAATATGTATTTTTAAAAGAGCTCCACCTGATTTTCCTGCTATGCATAGATTCAGGAGTAACTATCATACATGGCTTTCATATATAACGCATGTATTTTTGTCATTTGCCAATGCTGTGTCATCAGAACTGAGTTCAGCAGAAGGCTCAGGAAGGGGCTCTGCAGGAAGTGCTGGTGTTTGGGGAGTGTCTTCTTCCTTGGTGTCCAACTGCACGCTTTCTTGTGACTGACCGTCCATGCAGTCCTTTTTGGACAACGGGTGAACTGACACTTTTATTGCAATCTGTTGAGGTGGTTCGTGCAGTGATGATGCATCAGAGTCCGCTGTGGGAGAGTCACTGCGCTTCAAAGCATTTGGGATCATATACAGCTCATCTGTTTCAGTGGTTTCCTGGCCTTCTGCTGTCTGCCGTACAAAATTCTGTCCTTGCTCCTCCAGACCAACAACCTCCATAATTTCTTCCATTATAGTCCTGCAGTTCATGATGAGAGGTGGCAAAGGTACACTCCTAGCAAGCTCTTCAATATAGCGAGCAAATTCCATGGTCTTGAACTGGGTTACTTTGGCAAGCTCAAGTGTTTTGGCTGAAGTGATAATTGGGATACGTTTCGCAATCTCAAAGGCTTTCTGGAGTTTCTCTGCCCCTTCTGTTCTGAAGAATTCATTGATTGCTTTCTCTGTTTTCTTCAGATGACTGCTCATCATACATAACCGAGTAATGTTCAGTATCATAACAATGGTAAAAGCTACAAGGCAGACAATCATGTAATAGATTCCCATATCTCCGGAGGTAAAAACAACCCTCAGTGTCACAGTATTGTTAATACTGCCATACATATTAGATGCGACACATGTGTATTTACCTCTGTCTTCAAAAGACACGCTGGTAATGTTTAGTAGCCCATTGTCAAGAAACCACCATTTCCCTGCTGGAGAGAAGACAGATTAATTTACTTAGAAGTATTTTGTTCACATGATCAGTATAGTCTTAAACATTAGCTTTGTCAAACTGGTTTCAGATTTTGGAAGAAGGAAATAATGTTCACAAGAAGACACAGTATTTACCATCACAAAGGTCTGTCTGTCCCTGAGACCTTAGCTGTGTTACTGCCAAATCCCTGACGTCAACTGTGAATAATTGGATCATGCCCTAAAAGTCTAGTCTCATAAAAAAAATTAGTTAATATGCATGACATCTATTGCAATCTTATGGTCAGTTAAGTTACAAAAAATATGACTACTTACCCCAGAGAGCCTCCCAAACACATGCTACACTTCCTCAAAGAATAGTAACAATGGGATTGTGAGGCAGAAAAACCTGCTAAGCCCTCCTTGTTTTGTTCCCTGGCAAAGCATTTTCTTACAATTGGGTTATTTTTGGTGTTTTGTCATGGTATCTCATATAATTCCATTAATGTGAACTTTAAAAAAAGTAATATTTCAGACATCACATACTACACTGTCTGCTCTCTGAGGTGTTCAGAATTTAATTTTGAATTATGATGTAAAAAAAAGGGAAATGGGACAGTAGGAGTGAGTTGGATGGGAAAGAGAAGAGCCATGACCAACTATGAGAACATCGTGTCTGCTGGTGCAAACTTCTACACACCATAGTGGACCTTCTTTTACATTTCTATCAGTGTAATATGATTGGTATCTTTGGTCACTACATGTAATTTTATATGCACATTTCATATCCTTTGAACCTGTCACAGCAGAATAATTTAGCTATTAAACTGAGTTTGAAACAACATGTTAAACCACAGCATTCCTATCACTGCTAAAGCGATTCAAGATTCAGCTAGTTGTTGTGTTTGCCATTACATGTTGATAACAAATAAAATTTTTAGTTTCCTAAGTGAGCTTCATCTTTATTTGAATATCACTACCATTTAAGGGCTGAGGATGTGTATTTTTTGCCTTATTTGGTGTGATACAACTTACTAAATTGCAAATTTGCTATAAAACCATGATTCAACTCCAGTAGGAAAGCCTGGTGTCAATTCTTTCCTTCATGTAAACCCAACCCCTGGAAGTGTTCACATGGTGGAAAGAACAGCCAGAAAGTGCAGGAGTGTCTCTATGCCTTCTGAACACTTTATATGGGGAGATGTCATACAGAAGGCTGTCTTGTAACACAGTGACATAGGCTGATGTAAGCCAACAAGATCCTCTAACACATACTGCTGCTCAGAGGCAGACTCAACTCTTTTCAATCTCTCTAACACAATCCCAAGCCATTGCTAACAGGTATCTGTTGAAGGCAGTAATGGAATTTTAATAACCTTCTAGAGCAAGGAATTTCAGGTGTTACCTATTTTTAGTATCAGAAAGCTGTTTTTCCTTAAACCTAACCTAACCAGCTGCAATTTAAGTCTATGAAGGCAGCCAAGCGAAGACACAGAATCGGTGATTAGAGAACTAAACCAGCACAAAACTCCTGTGCAATGCATGTAAACTGCAAGGCAAGTATTGCAGTCCTGCCACAGATACCTTGCTTCCACATTTATTTTATCCTTTTGATGGAAGTTCTTTCATTGTTAAAAAGATTATTCTTTTTTTTTTTTTTTACTTTATTTCTTTCAAGGAAGAATCTGTGGGCAATTCTGAAATTCATTAGTCAAAAAAAGCCTTTAATTCAGAGTAATTATGGGCTTTTACCACTTTGAAAGTTTTTCTAATTAAACATGGCTTATCCAAATTGGTTTTTTACACTATCTCCAGTAAAAGCCTATGTAGAAAATATTCTCATGAGATCCCTGCCTCAGTTCCTGTATGGACAATTCTTAATTACATCTTTTTATCCTCTTACTTAGAATTGTTAACTTAACTGAAACACTATTTTTTGCCCTAGCTTAAATCTTGAAAACAGCTGAATCACTTTGCCTGAAATTAAAAAATATAGAGTAAGTGAAAAACTCAGTCTAAAGCAGACCTTCACATGACAAAATTGCCCCAATCTGCTGAAGTTACAAAAATTCAGAGGAAAACTCCCTTACAGAGGAAATGTCAGCGTCTGTAACATATGACACTTCTTTCTCCACCTCTAGAGTAAATAAAAATACAGAGTATTGGCTGCTCAGTGTTTCTTTGAATTGCAATGTTGGCAAAGCAGGCCTTTATTTATTGTAAAATGACAAGACGCCTTGCTGATATATCCTGGCTCCAGCTGTTATAAATGACATAATGGCATTGAACTGTGACTCAATGACTGGGTCTTTGCCAATGGATCCTGGCAGGCAGTATAAGCCTAACGAGAAAACAATTATTAGAAAAGGTATCATTGCTGGGTTTTGAGAACAGTTCAATGCCATACTCAACATAACTATATACACAGTAAGGAAAGGTCTTGTTCTAGGAAACATTTCTTACAGGAAGACAGTTTCTTAAAGGAGGAAGTGAACTGTTGAAAGTCTAAGTTCAAGTGATGTTGTCTTGATACTACATCTGCAATTTTTACTGACTTGGTCAAAGTTTTTGCTCACCTACAGGAATGTTTGTCTTAGTAGCTACCTCTCTCAGTTGACTATACAAAGACCTAAAGTTAGATGCGTAACTAAAGGGGAAAAATTCTATTAGTGAGCCTTAGTAAAACACACTAGCACGCTAATCACACTATGTTGCCATGACCACACAAACTGTATCCAAAAGTCTGCTTACTATCTTAAGTAGTTCTCTTCTCTAGCCTTACTCAAAAAATGATAAAATACTGTAATGTAAATCATAAGCAGTTATGCAGGAAGCTTTTACAGATACACTATGCTGTTGCACATCCATCTGGGTCAATCATTAGTCCCGTCATAGCAGAGTTCTCCCTCAGGTCAGCTATTAGTTAGGCAAGCTATCTTGCATTTAGTATGAATAACTAAGAGACTATTTCATCATGCTGTGAACAAAGCAATCAGTATGGAAGGATTATATGAGCAAAACACCTTCCATCTCCTCCAAAATGTTCCCTAGAAGTATAACTAGGATTATGACGCGAGCTTTCCATTTAAGGAAAACAAGCTAATGTGTAATTAAGGTCTCTGGCAAATGCAACTGAAGAGTCTTAACTAAAGCCAGGAAGGCTCAAACTTGGCTTGTCTTTCTGACTGCTGCCCTATATAGGTTTTTCTGTTGGTCATTCAGGGCATCTCCTGTTTCTCACACTCCCATGGCACTATGCATAAAGACGGGAGGCGTATCAGGGAGTTAGCTGTGCTGAATTCATGCCAACAAACTATTCCCATATGTCAAGAGAATCCTCCCTTGAGTTGGAAAATAGCTTTTTAGTCTTTTTTGGTGCCAGAGAAGAACAAAAGAGGGCAGAATGGGAAATAGGATCAAACCCAGAGTCTTCCAACGAAAAGAAGCCTGGCTACACCTTCTGTTAAGTGCTTCAGCTTCTTGCTATGTGTTGCTATAAATAACACATTATAAAAACGCTATTGTTTTCTTCCAAGGTGCACATAACAAATTTATGTCTGCCACTGGGCTTTCACGTATTTTCACCCAGGAAAACACCACAGTCAGGCCATTAACTTCAGGTTATTGGTCAACCTGCTGAAATCAGAAGTGTCTCTGGACAGGCTATATTAGCAAGAATACTAAGATCTTACCTCTATTCTCTTCCTCTTGGAGCAGGCGGCCATTGGAATTGTACCATTTGTAATGTGGACTAGGACTACCTTGGACATTGCAGTCGATCAAGGCACTACTCCCCTCCTTGACTATAACATGGTCGATGTGGGAGATCACCACAGGCACAGATCCCACGTTCACGTCAGTGCGGTTGAAAGTGCTGTTAGTCACATCCTCAGCAGTTGTCAAAGCTGCTAATAAGATGACAAGGTGTGTGGTAGGCAAAAAGTACAAAAAGTGGTGGCTGTTCAGTATGTTCATTTTCCTTCAGTGGTATATGCAACTGGCTGGGAACTGGGATCGGTTCTGTTGAACTCAGGCCCTTGAGGTGAGGAGGTGACAGGAGAGTTCTACTTTGATCCGTGCAATTTTGTGTTTAAAATATCCTACAAAATAAATAAATAAGTACAATGAGATGGCATGTATAAGCAATCCATTAGATGTGCTCTTTTAAAATAGTGACACATCCATTAATGCATTTCACAATCATCAGCTCAGTGTCTTGTCTAAATGCTAATGTTATCACAGTCCTTATTCTTACTGGAAAAAGATGCATACATTTTCCTGACAATAGTGTTGTTCAGAGTGGCAGGCGTGGGAGAAGGCTTTTATCACCTAGACACTTAGCAGCTATTTAGCTGCAGCAGCAGCAGCTACAGTTTTATGCCAGAAGTTCTACAGATTTTTCTGGTTTTTTTTTTTAACATTTGCAAAATCAACAGGAAAAACAAAGGTACAGCACGTTAAAGCTGTCACTACCAGTTCAGTGCTGCAACTCTGTCATGTGCATGGTCTTAGGTGAATTGTGGAATATGGTGTAAGAAAGAACTGCTCCAGGAAAGTTTTTGGAGCTGATGCTGGAATCCTTAATATACACAATTTTGTCCAAATGCAATAGCACATACAGCAAAACATCTCAGACTATTCACTTTTGGGGTTTTTTTTAAGTTTTCTGAAATAAAACAGCATGGAAGAATATTCTTAAAAGAGGATGTTTAGTACTTGATAAAGTAATTTCAGTGTAATTTTTAGAGCAGATTTAGAAAGAAAAATGCTCACTAGTGACATAATTATGGGTAAGGTTTGTTTGAGATACAAATGAAGTTGGGACTTTTCCATTCCTTATGTGGCATTAAGTATTTTGCCTGTATACTTTTTGCACCCTCTCACTACAGTATTTTCCCTCAACTAATCATCTACAATGAGCCCTTTCTTAAACAGTGATTTCAGTTTGCAGACAGAGGAGGGAGGGGGATTTACAAATGTGCTCTCTATTGGCCTCATTATGCTCCCAGTGAACACAACTGGCATTCAGTTCTGACTGAAGGCACAATGTTGGCCTCAAAATGAGCACCTTAAAAAATTTCACTCAGAGTCTAAGGGCCACAAATGATGTTAAAACCACATCAGAGTATCTAACTACATTGGTTTTACTCACGTTTTTGCAAAGTAAATAACCGAAACTTAGTGAAACTTGTTGGTTAGAAGAATCTACCTGGAATCCAAATAATTTACATTTTATTAAAGATCAGGTTGACACTATAGTAACTCATCTACCTTAGCATGGAAAATGACTGCTGACAAGGCCAGGTCAGTTCCATATATAAAGGAAACAGTAAAATAAAATCAAGCAAACAAACAAATAATCAATCCCCTTCCCCTTTCTTCATTGAAAAAGGAAAGAAAACATTACTGTCACTGGTAATATTTGACTTAGGTTCTTTCTTCTCCATCCCCTGTTCTCTGTAAGGTGATGAACGTAATTTCATACAAATAGATACAACTGTTATTAAAAGAACAGAATAGTTTCCTCCATTTTGTAGGATGAATCATTACTAGAAATTATAAACTATGGGGTTTTTTAGGTAAGCTGCATGCACAGCATGGATGCCTGTCACAACTCCAAGCCTGCCCCCATTTTTTCTCTGTTTTTCTAATTATTGAATGTGTAAATATTTGTCTTGAACAGCCAGAAAAATTTTTAACTTTAAATTAATATGCAAATCTCATTTGTCATATAAAGCTATATAAACAATGACTTCATAAATCCATTTCCAATTATGCAAAATGTGTAGAGCCTGTGCTTTTCAAGTTCTCTATAGGTACAGCCTGTCTGAATCTGCACTTTGGAAAAAATCCTTCACTTCTGCCTATTCACTTCAGTAACTATTTACATCTCATTTCTACTACTCCATTAACCTTGGAGACAGCCATTCTTTATGATTACACATATTCACTCTATAAAATGTTTCTGTACAGTGTTATAGATCTGCATTGCGCCATACAGAAAAGCCAAAAGACACGTCACACTTCCTGGCAAGGGAGCAGGAACAAAGACTGGCTGGATTAAGACAATGGGAAGGGCAAAAGAACAACATAAACTGATTAAGCTTTGTGTTGCTGATTACTGGCTATGGCTTGTTATTATTGTATTTCAGCCTACCATATTTTTTGATGGCAGAAAAATCAGTAGCAATCAAAAAAGGTGTTTAGTGTGGAGAGCAATTTGCATTCCAGAAGGAAATGAAACAGCACCACCCCAATGGGGGAACAGAAAACCTCTAAGGAAGGACTCACAGTGTATTGGGAAGCTCAAGGCAGTTGGTGGCCCACTGAATCCCTACAGCACAGGGATGCTGTGGGTGGATGTTTGGAAAGTATGTGATGGCAGTCCGAATGTAAGGCGTGCCTACTTTGTACATTTACCCATGTTTAACGTGGAGCATATGAAAGCAAAACCTATACCTTTGTGTAGCGATAACAAATGTGACTCGTTCTTAACATGGTCAAAGAGCTAATTACTTGTCTGAAAATAACAGCGACTCCCTCACTTTGGCAGAGAATTGACTCATAAATAGCTGCAGTAAGTTTTAAGAAATAGAGCCAAACAATTTATGTCTACTGTGGGAGATTCATGCCTACTCACGTCACTCCTGGGAATGTAGTTTCTGTATGTGTGTTTGTTTCTGAAATGAAGAATATTAAGAAAATGCTGAATACCTCTGCAGATGCATTTGTTTGAAATAAATACAGTTCGATGGCTAGTATGAGGAACAACCAGGCAGTAGATTTAAAGCAGAATGTTTGGGAATGGTGGCTGCTGCTTTCATGTGCCATCCAGTGAAGTGCTCTTGATGGACACTTGAGTATGTTTGAGGAGTCAGGGAGAGGTGTCTCTGAAGAGCAGTGTTTTAATATTCAAGTTTAGACAAATGGTCCCAGGGCAACTAGGAAGTGATAGGTAATCTTTTCTTTGGTGTGCATCCTCTGCACTGTTAGTGGGGAACAAAAAATTGGAAGAAACCACAAAGACAGTTTTCTCAGCATCACCTCGCACAAGAAACTTAAAGGGTGGCCATGCAGGGAACTACACGTCCAAGACCCTCTGCTAACCTGTTGGACAGGACCAAAAATGCTAGAGTCAGGTTAGGAATGCAGGAAGAACCAGAGAGAGAGAACTGAAAGGGTAGAAAATGTGCTTGCACGAGACACTGGTGCAAAGGGAGATTTCCTGAGAGTTTCTGTCCTACTTCTTTGCTGTAGGCACAACAGCAGCCTGAGGATATCAAGGAAAACAAAGCCAGCTGCTTTGTTAAACATAAGTGATGTAATGGGTTATGATTCAATCACACAACTAAATGGGGAGAAGTCTAGGGAGACTGAAATGGGAGTGCTTAGTGATGTCTGCCCACTGCTGGCAAAGAAGCAAGAGAGTCCAGAATATTGGAAAAATGGGCATAGTGCTGTCACCCTGGATCTTGGTCATGAGAGGCAGTAATTAGCTGTGGCCCATGATAAACCTGATGAAGGCGGGCAAAACTGTAACCTTTTAATCTGACCCAAAGTCAGAGAAAGCTGGATTGACTAGACTAAAACAAAGATTCCTGTAGTAACTCCTCAAGACTGAGAGTAACACAGGACACTAATGAAGGAGGACATCTGCAACACTGAATATTGCTCTGTAGGAACAGACTGAGTCTCTGGGAGCATTTTTGCCACAAAAGGGTCACTATAAAGAATAAATTAAATTTCTGGTCATGGAAAGAACGTAAGCATTCCCTTCTTCCATCCCCAAAGCACATGAGCTACCCGTAAAAGACTTATAAAAAGTAAAGGCTTATAATATATTTAATGTGGTTACATACAATTTTTTTTTTTTTTTTTAATGTTAAAACTGTGGTGCATGAAACGGAAAAAGAACACCTCCAGCTACCTTTTCCACCCAAAGTTGTAGTTGGGGACAGGCTTACCTCCCAAAACAGAATCAGAGGAATCCCCAAACATTCCTCCAGCACCTAGAACATATATATATATAACTATATATGCTGTATTGTATCTGGAGCAACATTTACCACTGAAAAGTGGTTGCCAGTGCCAGTCCTTACATTAATAGTTTTGGTTTTTCCTTCCCCAACCCAAATGGTATAACCTGAAAATCTGAAAGTAACAGATTTACTGCTTGTGGGATTAACTTCCAAGGAAAACTGCACAAGACTTGAGCCACATGAGGGAACTACAACAGGCTTTTCTTCTAAGTGACACAATAGCTAGCTCTAGTGTGCTGTTGACTCATCTTTGTCCAGAGAAGTTCCCTGGAATGTGCTCCAGAAAAAGCATGGCTGCAGGATGGTTATATCACTCCTAACTATGTGAAATAGCAACAAAAACCGAGATTAAAACTTCTCTGTCCAAAATCAAGCATCAGTCTAAACTGAAGACACTTACAGCTTGGACTGGCTGGGGACATTAATCACTCAGAGACATATTCTGATTGACCATTTATTTTTTCACGTCACAGACGAGTTTGCTTCCTAGTATTACTGCCACCAAAGAAAATGACTGCAGGTGAGGGCCACGTTTGTAAGTACTGCATTTGTGCAGAACAACATGATGACAGAGCACAAAACAACAGAAAAGGAGAGCAGTGATGCATACCTTTTCCTGGCTTGCTCACTGCTGTAAGACTGGCCTGTTCTTGTTCTTGGAATAATGTGTAATCCTATTAACTGTGAGGTTATTCAATTCAAAGTAAAGCACAAGAAGCCAGCTTATTGGATAATGCATAAATTATGTTCCTATAGCTTTAAAATCCCAATGCTATCTTCCTTGGCTTGTAAGTGATCAAGAAAATGAAATTCTTTTCATTCTAGTTCTCATTTGTCTATAAATAAGTGTTGAGGATGATGCTACAAAACAAAATTAAAAGCTAATTATTTATTATTTAAAAACTGCTTACTACCTTTCCTAGTTTCCACATGCAATGCCTTTAGAGAGTGGGCAAAAGTAAAAGTTAACAGGTTTTACTGGAACAGGAATGCAAATGAAGGAACTTTTGCCACACGGAAGGCAAGAGGCTCACTGCTAGTTCATAGGTTTAAGAGT